AAAAAACACACCTAAATTTCTCGCACTGACAGATGCTTTCACAGACACATTGCCAATGCGAACATTAGTGTTAGTAGCACAGTCCTTTCTATCTTTAAATTTAGATGAAAACCAGATTATTTCCGTTTTAGTGTCATTTAGAGCCAGCTTATTTGAGAGCATCCACACCCGGATCTCATCAATACATTTCTCTATGTCTGACACTACAGAATAATCACACCGACTATCACAAGTTACATAAATCTGAGTATCATCAGCAAAAATTCTGGTCTAAAGATTGTGCTTAGAAATGATCTCCTCAAGAGGCACCATATAGAGTGAAAAAAGTAGTGGGCCTAACACCGATCCTTGCGGAACACCATATTTCAGGGTTTCAGGGGCAGAAAGAAGGGAATTAATTTCCACTTTTTGTGTTCTTCCCTTTAAGTAAGAGCTCAACCAATCAATCGCCATTCCTGTAATGCCAAACCTGCACTGCAAACGTTGTAGTAAAATATCATGGTCAATCGTGTCGAAAGCAGCAGAAAGATCCAAGAGGACCAAGATGACATCACAGTGATTGTTTAATGAGAGCATGATATCATTTTGAACCTTAAGCAGGGCTGTTTCAGTACTATGACCCGTTCTGTAGGCTGATTGGAATTTACCATACAGAGAATGTGCTGTTAAGTAGTTGTTCAGTTGCGAGAATGCCATTCTTTTCCAGAAATTTACTAATGAAAGAGCAGTTGGACATTGGTCTATACTTTTTTAGCTCGTTTCTTTCAAGACTGCTCTTCTTTAAGAGAGGCTTTACAACAGCAGTTTTACAGAGATCAGGAAAAATTCCAGACTCAAAAGATGTATTTGTTATTTTCATGAGTGCTGGAGATACTGCTTCTATGCAATCCTTTACTAAGTATGTTGGCATTGGGTCCAGTGAGCAGGATTTTGCTGGCATGGCTTTCATCATGGCAACTACTTGTTCGATACTCACTTGGGTGAATTTTGTCAGTACTGTTTGAGAAGAAACTGGTGACTCTATGAGCTTTGGATCATGTTTATCTAGGGTACATCTTATGTCCTGTATCTTTTTAGTAAAGAATTGTGCAAAAACTTGAGGTAGTAAGTTTTTCTCTAAATCAGGCAGTACTCTAAGTTTGGTGGATGAAGAGTTAGAGATGTTATCAACAATTCTGAATAGGGCTTTCTGATCGGCAGAATCAATACAATTTCGGTGGTATTCTGCTTTGCATGTGTTAAGACGAAAATTATACTTGGATCTGGCATCTGTGAAAATCTGTTTATGTATTTCAAGTCTAGTGCCAAGCCATTTTCTTTCCAGCTTACGG